GCTGTGTCCTCACATGGTCTTCTCTCCGTGTGCTCTCTGCCCTAATCAACCCTCTTATAAGGACATGAGTCAGACTAGATTAGAGTCCACCCTAATGACTTCACTTTAACTACTCAAAGGCCTCATCTCCAAATATACATTCTGAAATACTAAGGTTTAGGACTTCAAGATAAGAATTTAGGGAAACACAATTCAACTCGTAACAAGATCCTGGCCAAAAGCTAACTTGGGAGGTAGTCCAGGCAAAGGCAACTGTAACTTGCTAAAGATTGCAATGGAAGTATCATTTTCTTTTGACCTTTAACAAATGTGTCTGAATTTCTTTCTAGACTCTCTTTTGAGCTGACTAGTTCCCAGCTACACATTCCAAGAATGGTTACAAGCTGAGGGCCAGACACTCCAAGCCACTCAGGAAAGACTAGTTGCACTCATTTTCCTACTTGGTTAGGAAAAAGTCCTAACTATAGCTTTGCTGGGAAAAGTCTCCATGTCACAGTCATGAGTTTGCAAGCAGCCAAGCCTGATTTGGTTCCAGTTCAACTCCGGAGCGAGATTCACATGCTTTTGCACCACCCAGCCTCCTAACTTGGCAATCATGAGTCTTCCCTTGAGGAGACATGAATTCTTTGAAAATACCAACGCCCCAGGATGCCTAGCTGGCTCAGCGGTTGGGCCTTTGGATCACTGTGTGATCCCCAGTTGCTGGATCGAGTCCCACATCAGGCTCCTTGAGAGGAACCTGCTTCTCCCTCTGCCTGTGTCTCTGCCTCTCTCTGTATATGTCTCTCATGAATAGATAAATAAAATCTTTAAAATACCAACGTCCCGTAGAACACCTTCAGGACCCATCTCGACTAACTCCCTCTCTATACACTGTCCTGTGACCTCCTATCCAAACCAGGACAAAGAACAGACTCTGGGGACATGCAGATGGGTCATGACCCCTATCTCAGGAAGTTCATTAATTTAAGAAGAATCTATTAAAGAAATACACATTGAGGTAGTAAGTTTCCCAGGCATGGGACTCCATCACTAGAAAAGTTTACTTTTCTCCCCTAAAATTTTTTGTTTTGTTTCATTTTGGCCTCAAATACAAACTTACCTAAAATTATAGTCCTGTCCCTTTCTGAAAGTTGAGTTTTGCTCATCTGCATTTTTCTTCTTCACCTGTAAGGAAGGAAGAAGTCAGTGGGCAGCCAGGACAAGCCCATTACCCACAGATCAAATGTGTTCACAGGCTCCAACATGCCCTCTACTTCCTCATAATTGGATAAATAATTCTTTAATCCTCTTGTTGTTACGCCCGCCAATGATGAAATCCTGTGATATCTCACAAGTAACTAGTGAGTCTAACTTTCTGTGAAAATGCTTCTTTTGTGGACAGAAATTAATTCAGGTGTCCAAATAGTAAGTCAATACACCCCAACAGGTGTGTTCACTAAAAAGGTGCCAACAGGTAAGGCAGCTGGGATCTGTGACTGGTTTTTTTCCCCATGCATGCCACAGGTCTGTAATAGCATTAACCAGAATACATGTTCCCATAACTGTTGCCAAAACCTATACTCCAGAATGAGTCTATAAAGTGAACACCTTTGTAACATTATTCCAAAGCTGAACAAATTCCAATGAGTAATTAGTGACTGCAGAAGAGTTTCTGAAATTCTCTTGCTCTTTGCCATTCCTGTCTCCTACCAACCATTTTCCAACAGCAGTCAGCGTGCTCACTGTCTGGTGTAAATCACAGCTCTGGTTTTAAGCAAGGGATTCAAACCCTTCAAAGGGGTCCTCTTAATTTAGAATAAAACCCACACTTGCTTTCAGTCCCAAAATCTGCTTAACCTGATCACCATCTATTTTTTGATCTTACCCCAGGTCAGTACACTGGAGCCTTCTATTGGCTCAGAAGCAGGTAATGCCCTGAGTCTTAGGACCTGCTGCTCTGTCGGCCTGCTATTCCCTTGTCGAGGCTCTTGGCTAGCCTGGCTTCCTTCCGGCCTGAATTCCACCACCTCCAAGAGCACTTCCATGACTCTCAGCTTCTTGGTCATGACCTCATTGCTCTTTATCATGGCTTTTCTTATTTCTTCATAGCATAGCACCTGCTACAATCTTGTTTATCATTTTGTTGTTATCTGTCTCCCTGTACCAGATGTGAAGCTTCATGGCATTCAGGAGATGCCTGGCTTATGGAAGTTATTTAGTAACTATCTGTTGGACAATGGATCGATGCATGGATGGACATAAGGACCATTTATCTACCTAAGAGTTCAGACAAAAGACTCCATAGTTTTCTAGTTCTGAACTATCTAAGTGCCTATACTCTGTATCTCCCTACATGGTACCCACAAACCCACTTACTATTTAAATTATTATAGTCCAGATGTGAACAGCAGTCCAGCCTTCACTGGTCACTTCTCCCTGAGGATTCATTCTGCCATCCTTCCCATTGGCTAGTTCAGTTAGAAGTCCTGAGGCATTTCTACATGGGTAGCAGAAGCAATTATTAAGTTTTGTTTGTGGTTCACAATTGAACACATCATCCAGATAACTGTGATTTAAGTTCTGGGTGTGGGCCTCAAGAGTTGATGAATATTAACAGTGTTGTTGAAAGTTCAGAACATAAAATTTCCAGAAATTGCCAATCCTTGTAAAGAGAGGTATATGATTTCTACCGTCTCACTCTTTTCTCCCCAGAACAAACAGAAACAAACAGATTTCATAAACTGAAATCAAACATATAGTGTATTAGAATTTAGTTTTATAGTTCAGAGCAAGGATCTTTAGTAAACACTTGGCTTTTCTATCTTAGTAGGTAAGATAATTGGTTTATGGTTTATTTAGACAGTTATGTTTACCACTCTAATTTCATAATCTAATCTAATTTTATAACATAAAATCATTGCTTGAAAATGTGGAGAATTCAATGGATCTAATATATCCCATTCTGTCTGTTCAATGTGAGCATCTTGGCACTGAACTGTAATGATCACCTTTACACTTGAAACTTCTCTTTCGCTCGGCGTTCCGGGAGCGGCGGCGTCTGCGGGCGGCCCTCCGCACGATGTCCGGCGGCCTTCTGAAGGCGCTGCGCAGCGACTCCTACGTGGAGCTGAGCCAGTACCGGGACCAGCACTTCCGGTCCAAGGCCCGTAGCGGTATTTAGATGGGAGTAAACCACCCCCCTGAGGGACGCCGAGAACCCGGGAGACGCCCCCAAGCACCTGGGGCTCAGTCGTCTTCAGCGATGGGCTGTCTGTCTGGATTACTCACTTGTGTGGGAAAAGTGGAAGGAAAGAGAAGAGGCCTTCTGGTAACTCTAGTAAATCATTAGCAGCAGTGATATAAATAAGGGTGACAATGAAGAACAGGAAAAATTACTGAAGAAGAGCTGTACATTGTATGTTGGAAATCTTTCCTTTTACACAACTGAGGAACAAATCTATGAACTCTTCGGCAAAAGTGGTGACATAAAGAAAATTATTATGGGCTTGGATAAGATGAAGAAAACAGCATGTGGGTTCTGCTTTGTGGAATACTACTCGAGAGCAGATGCAGAAAATGCCATGAGGTACATAAATGGAACTCGTCTGGATGACCGGATCATTCGCACAGACTGGGACGCAGGCTTTAAGGAGGGCAGGCAGTATGGCCGTGGGCGATCTGGGGGCCAGGTTCGAGATGAGTATCGGCAGGACTATGACGCTGGGAGAGGCGGCTATGGAAAACTGGCCCAAAACCAGTGAGTGGTGAGAGCCCCATCATGAAAACTCACTTCTTTGGCCTGTTGAATTTGCCATGCATTACCCAAGGTCTGCGAGCCTGCCCATTTTTGCCATGCTTTGATCAAGGTCTCTGTTGAGCTGGAAGCCTTTTCATGGTTTTCCTTTGAAAACTATTAAAGGACAGAATTCAAAAGAAAAAAAAAAAAAAAAAAGAAACTTCTCTTTCCATTGTGGTAAGAACAGTATAGTAACCAAGAAGCTTTGAACCTCAACTTCCTGGCCAAAGATAGGATTCTGGAGGCTTATTTAAGCTCTGCTAGACTTAGGTTCCTTATCTGTAAAATAGGAAAAATGATAGTATCTCTCTGGCATGATTATGGTCAGAACTTTAAAATTATAATACAAGTAAAGCACTTCGAAATTGAGCCTAATATATATTAGCCTTTGATAAGTGTTAGCTCCTTATTGTTTGACTTAATTCATCTGGGGGTTCAGTTTCCTTGCACAGTAATTTCTGTAAGTGGGCAAATATTAAGTTTTGAAAATATCAGAAAAAAATGCAATTTAAACTGAGTGAAATAAAATCACAAGCAAATGTAGCTATCACTTTGTGAAGTAAATAAAAGCAAAGAGATTTTTTTAAATGTGTAAGATAACCATGCAGTGTGTCCAGAAGGATATTTTATGACTATAGAATTGTGTGAGGCACCCAGGGAGTCCAATGAAACAAACAAAACAAAATAAAAATGCTTAGTTTGCAATTATCAATGAATGGAATTCTAAACAAAGAAAATCCACTGCATTTTTAACTTTTGGCATATCCTATCAGAGCATTATGTACACTATAAACCAGGGATGGCAAATAGGATTCATCTTTTAGCCTACTACTATCCATGGCAAGTAGTGGAAGTGACTCTTTGGAACACTGTTTAAGGAGGATTCTGAGGACACATCGGAGTTCATTGGAAAGAATTCCTTCATCAGTTCTCAAAGTACACTACAAGTACAGGAGGAAAAGTGACACTGTGCATGCCACAAAATTACTCGTCCTTATAATTCCAAATTTGCAATTCCAAAATAGTTTGCCAGTGTCAGAAAATGTATAGCCACAAAGCAAAAACAGTTTGGAACCAAAGGTCTGTGTTGTCAGTGAGATCTGCTGGAGATAATCACCAGAGCTTTCATTGGTTATTTCCTTCACCACCTCTTTCCATTGTGAAGCACTTAGATATAGCCTGATCCTTGACCTACCTTAAGTAGATCCTATATCAAGGGAACCAAGGCACAGGATCAATTTAAGTCCTGCTCCACCAGCACTCCTGATCTGTGGCACACGTCTGAAGCTTTGGAATCACAAAGCATCCTGGAGAAAAAACCTAAAGCAAACAGAAAGGAAAGATCAAGGTCTCATAAAACTACTCAGCTGGAATCTTGTGAGTACTTCCTGAAAGTCCTTATATGAAATCACCAGATTAGTTTCCCTCTAGAACAGAGAGCAAGGTCGGGGAGATGGGAAAAAAGTCAATCACTCTCTTAAGCTCATAAAGGAAAAATATGTTTTTCAAAGATCTGAAGGAGAAAACAATTTTAGTCCCATATTCCCAAGGCCTCTGTCCAATGATCATATGGTGGCCTTACTGAATTAAAGTATAACTCTTTCCTCAAAGTTAAGTTAAATTCCCCCTGAGCATACTATTGCTAGGTCCTTTGCCTCCCTGCAGGTGCGAGACACTACTGCTCCACCTCCATGGAGTAAGGCTTCCAATCTGTGTCTGTCAGATAACTGTGGCCATCCTTTAAAAAAAAAAAAAATGAGAGACACGGAGACAGAGAGAGAGAGAGGCAGAGACACAGGCAGAGGGAGAAGCAGGCTCCATGCAAGGAGCCCCACGATCCCAGGTCTCCAGGATCACACTCCAGGCTGAAGGTGGCGCTAAACCGCTAAGCCACCTGGGCTGCCCAACTGTGGCCATCCTAAAACAAGAGGTCAGACCAACCAAGGACAGTCAGATCCCAGGTTCTCTGCCAAGAGTATCACCCTTGAGCCAGATTTCCCTGCTTGTTCACTGCAAGTTGTTTTGAAGAAAAAAAAAATCAGGTTCACTGCAAGTTGTTCTGAAAAAAAAGGTTCAGCCCAGGCAACTGTAGACACTTTGCTCTGACCTTCTGGAATCACAGAAGGCCCAGAAAGTTCTTTATCAGGAGACTGGAAGGGCAATGGGCAGAAGGAGGGTCCCAGGCATAGAGGAACTTCTACCCAGGTAGTCGTGACATTCCAAAGCCACAGGAGAAACAGGAGTCGGAGGTTGTACAAGGCATTTTATATTACCTACATCTTGCATAAACCAGGCTCAGAGGTTCTCTGAAAGTTTCACCCTTTACTTCAGTTGACCTGTTACTGAAGCTTCCCACCCCCACCCCAAGATGCCAGAACTTGGGTGGTGAGGACAATCCCTGTGTGCCCAGCATGATTAAGTCAGCAGATTACCCTGTCACCTTCCAGAGCTGAACCTCTCCCCTCAAGTGGGCACTCATAGTGTCCTAGAGGGACCTGCCCCCCCCCATAACCTCCTGAAAGCTGCTCTACAGGGCAGTGTGGGCTCCTGAGTCCTTCACCCTGCATTGGAGCCCCACAAAAGTGTGTGAGGATGTAGTAAAATAGATGCATAGGGAAGCAAGATGCATCCCTGGACCAGCAGAACACATTCACATTCCACCAGGACAGGGCACCAGCCCCAGAGGTCTGTCGTGGCACTCAAAGGCTAGTGTCCTGGGCAAATCTTGTCACCCGCAAACCTTCATTGCCTTAGCTGTGATCAAGGTTGTATCCAAAGGACCTGAAATTCCCTTGGGAACCAGGATGAAAGTCCCACCTTCACAGTGTACAGAAGAGCTGACCCCATGCCAATTCCCTTTTCCCACAAGGAAATCTATAGGCTGGGACTTTGTCTGTAAGTAGCAGTAATGATGATGTACAGTTGGGGTTAGGGGTGGGCAGAAGGCAAGCTGTGATTCGAGAAGAAAAAGATGAGTCTTCCTGTTTGATGGGTGGATAAACAATTTCAAAGTCATTTAATGACAAGAATAAAAATCAGGCTCTCACCCTGTGCCAGTTATCAGACCAGCAATAGAGGCACCAAAATGAATAGAATGTTTCCTGGACTGGGAAGTTGAAATGAGTTTGTTTATAGACTTCCAAGGCAAAGTTTGTTTTTGTATGCCATGGAAATTGTTTTCACCAAACTTAATGTGTTTAGATGACCTTTAATTCAGGAAAGAATTTGATTTTTAAATAAATGTGGGTTTTGTTTGGCTCAATGTAAGACTTTTAAAAAGTTTAAACGTGCTCAGGGAGGTGCTTTCTGCCTGTTTACAGAATAACAGGTTTTGTTGGTGTTTGTTTTTTTGTTTGTTTGTTTGTTTGTTTGTTTTTACCTAAACCAAAAATAATAGATTAAGGAACTTTCTGTTCCAATAACAAAACAGCCAAATTTACTTGGAACTCCTGCCAATGCAAACACCAAGAAACTCCATTACATACAGCAAACATTCTATTAAATGTGGAGCTGAGTATGAAGAAAGAAAAAGACAGGTACCCAGGAAAAAAGGTTTGGTGCAGCAGAGTACTGGCGCTGGGTGTGCTGGGTCAAATGCCCATCTCACGTTAATGCCTGTGAAGGTCAGGAGCGGAGACCTGTGAGAGCCTGGACACAGTTCCATTGTGAACTTGGGTCCCTCAGAGCACTCTGGAGAAAACTGGTCTCAGTACCAGGAAATAGTGAAGAAATTTAACTATGTCATTCTGGGTTGTGGATGAAAAAGAAGTGCCCCCTCAGAATTGGTAACTATGAATCTGTGCTACAGATCAAATTTACATGACCCACTTGGCTCAGGAACCCCCAAGACAATAACTTAATAGAAAAATCAATCACAAATTAGTAATATCACTGGGCCACCTGGCAGGAACACAGCCAAAACCTCGACCAGACCAGAGAAGACTCGGACACATGTCCCCACAGAAAATGATCTCAGATGCAAAATTACACCCTCACTTAGAAAGAACCAGCAGAAGGCACAGACAGCATATGAAGATTGCTTAGAACTTCAGGTAATAAGAATAGAAAGCCATCAATACCTTAGAGTATAGGTTGGGCACCGCCGAAGAGACTTGTATGTTTAGAGAAGTAAATACCCCAAACAGGCCTTTAACAGCAGAACATCTTTTTTAAAAGCTAGACAAAATGTTTTTTTAAATATATCTTTTAAAATGTATTGTTAAGCCAGCAAAACTTCAAGTAAAAATCCACAACCATGAACGTTCCCCAGGAGGATCGGGGTGGTGGGGGGAAGGTGTCTGATACTGAGCCCTGGCTCTGACAGCCAGGGAGGGAGGCTAGGAAAGGAAGCCCAGTGCCCCGCAGGAAGGGGAGGCTGGCAAGAGGCAGAACTTCAGGAAAAGCTCATCCTGAGAAGACGGGAGGCAAGGGACCCCCCCCCCATCTTGGCTTGGGGACCGGGGAGGGGGGAGAATTCTCCCCACTCATGAAAAAATCACCAGCTGGCCATCACCCATGTTAGAAGCCCACACTCACAGTATCTAGATGTCAGAAAAACAAGTGAGACTTGTTTTTCTCCAATATTTTTCTTTAAAAAAATTTTAAACTACATAGGAATTTTTTAAATAGTGCAAAAAATACCTGTAAATGTTCCCCTAAATGACCTAGTAAGATTATGCTGCACCTTCCCCAGCCCCCCTACATACATGTACATACACATTGTGTATATATACGAACTAATGTATATATTATTTTAAAGAAACATCAGAATATAAGTTGAGGTCACTGTTACACCCCCCCCCCACGTACTTCAGTTGATATTTCCTAAAGTGAGGACGTTCTCCTCTCTCATCGTAACACTGCTGAATGTACAGTCTGTGCAAATTTCCCAACTGACCCAAGAATGTCCTCTAAAGCTGCTTTTTGCCCTATTCAGAATTTAGTGAAGTTCCTTGCATTACATTTTGTTCCGTCTCTTTCGTCTCTTACAGCCTGGGACAGTACCCCTGGCCCAAACATTTTCTTTCTTTTGTTATATATTTCCCTAACGTTGATTGGTTTGAAGAACTCGGGCTAGTTGTCTCACAGAACATCCCCCATTGTGGTTGTATCCAGTCATTTCTTCATGATCAAATGGGAGTTCAAACATTATTACCGGAAAATGCCCCACGCCGTGCTTCTGACATCTTGCTGCATCACAGCTGGCGTATAATGCAGGTCATCCTGCTGTCAGGGTCCCTAACTGACAGTTGGTAGAGGTGACTCCCCTCCAGGTCTCTTCATTAGAAAGCATCTTCCCCTCTGTAATTTGCGGTGACTGGATGCTTCGAAACTGTGTGAATAGCCCATTTCTCTCAACATTGTATCCAGTGGTGTTCAACTTCCACTGGTGCTGTCTTTAGATCTATCATTCCTTTTACATTTCTTAGCTGTATTCTTCCATAGAGATCAGCTGAAATGCTTAAAAATCAGCCACACAGCCCAGCAAAGCAAACAAAAATGTTTTCTGGAGGAACTTACCTTCCAAATAGAGCTAAAGAAGTCCCACATACAAAGTGTTACTGATTGTAAATTGCGCTGAGAAGGCAGAGCAAGTGTATTGAGCTATAATCTGCTGAATGAAGAGGTGCAGAGGTGCAAGCCACCCACACAGGGGCAACAGGTACCTTCCTCAACATCTGAGCTCCCTCTTTGGGCAAGTGAAAGCCTTGGAGTCATTTTGATTAAAGATCCAGTTTCAATGCACCCAAACAAAGAGAGTAAAGCCACAAGATTTATTATTTAGAGATCCCAGAAGGGAGGTGTTGCAATGAGCTGGGGGAGAGGCAGTCTTCAGGCCCAGGTCACCAGCAAGCAGTGGATTGAGAGCAGGGGAGCAAGCACCTCCTACTTACAAGGAGGTTGAGATGGAGGTCTCTGGTTGTGGGCTTAACTCTAAGTAGTTATTTTAGAAGATGCCTGGGGGAAATGAAACAGGAAATTATGGTGCCAATCCTAAACTCAGGTCCTTGTCTGAATTCTAGATCTTGGGTGTGAGCAGGGTTGTCATACTGTAAAATGCCTAGGCAGCAAATCAAAATAGCTGTTTTCTCATTGCAACTGACCCCGCAATCCCTTGGCATTAGTCTTTATGGAAAATCATGGGCACTGCCCAGGCAGCAGAGATAATAAAAGCCACTAACAAGGAGGGATTGGTCACCCAGTATATGAAACATGTGAGCAAAGCATAAATGTCAATCAATAGTATCATTGAACAAACCATAGTTTGAAATCCTGTCACACCATTCCCTTCATTTATTGAAGCCCAGCCAAGGAAATAAGTCAGATATTGGATAAGGTTAAGGTAGATTTGATAACTAGGGTGAGATTATGGAATA